CGATGCTGGGTTTAGGGTTTAGGGTTTAGGCTTTAGGGTTTAGGGTTTAGGGTTTAGGGTTTATAGGATATATAGGGTTTAGGGTTTATAGGGTATATAGGGTTTTGGGCTTATAGGGTATATAGGGTTTAGGGTTTAGGGTTTAGGGCTTAGCGTCTGTAGCCCTGAGGGACCATGTATCCTTGGAGTATACTTTGACCCTAAAGTACCTATATAGGGACTACATTAAGGTCTAAGTATCTACTCTTTGGGTACATGGAGCCTTAGGGTAGGGTTTAGGGTTTGCAGTTTTACCTTGATGAAAAAGTTGAGAGTTTCAGGTTTAGGGCGGCTTAGGGTTTAGGAGCTTTTTTGGAAGAGGGTGGGAGAGAAGGGTGGGTGTTGATGGTTTCTTGCGGGGGCTGGCGGGGCGGTGGGTTAGCAGGGGTTGAGGGCGGGTGATATTTTTTTGCGTGGTTTCCGAGGTGTGCAGATTGAGGGGTTTAGCGATTCAGGGGTTTGAGGGTCCACGGGGGGATGCAAGAAGTTCGGTGATGGTGGAGAGCTCGCAGAAATCAGATTTGGGTGCGGGGTTCAGGGTGCAAGGGGGTATGAGGTTCAGGGCTTGTGTGAGGAGCCCACAGATGCAAGGTAAATTCAAGATAGGGGCTTTACAACTGGAACAGGATTTTCGGATATTACACACGATCATCATTGTTTAGGGTTTAGGGTAAAGGGTTTAGGGCCTAAACCCCAAACCCTAAACCCCAACCCCCAAACCCTACACCCCAAACCCAAAACCCTCGTACCACAAGGCAGAAGGCCCTCCACGGTAAGAGCTCCAAGCCAAGGGCAGCTTGCCAGAGTTCCCAAAGCCCCTATGGTACCTGTGGCACAATGGACTTTACCTCTTTCAAGAAGTATATATAGAAACCACAATAAGGAACCATAAAACGGTAGGTTTGTTTTGGCTACAGGTAGGGTTTAGGTTTTGGGGTGTAGGCCTTAGGGCTTAAACCCTGAACCTGGGCTTTGAAGTAACCAGGGAGAAAAAAGTATAGACTTTTATTTCATAATGGCTCCTTTAAGGAACAGGTCCCAAAAAAAAGTATTAAAGTATGGTACTCCAAGGCCCAGGAACCCTAAACCTAGGGCACTGACCCGAGCAGGAAATTCGTGCTTCCTAAACCTTGTGATCCAAGACATCCGGAAAACGAAACCAGGAACACCAAAGCCACTACTGGCAGCAACTGAATCCCTGAACCGTAGCGAAACACGGTTACGGCTTAGGGTTTAGGGTTTAGCCCTAAACCCCTAAACCCTAAACCCTAACGCCAAAACCCTGACAACAGAACCTTCGATTCCGGGAGCCTTCGTGGCACCGTAGATGGCACCGCACTTGGTGTGTCCCAAGACCTGTCTACTCGGCGATTTCGGATTTAGGGTTTAGGGCTTAAGGGTTTAAGTGTTTAAGGGCTTGAGGGTTTAGGGTTGAAGGACTCAAGGGTTAGGGGTTTAGGGGTTTATGGTTTGAGGGTTAAGGGTCAAGGGCTTACGGTTTAGGGCCTACTTTAGGGCTTCATGTTAGGGTTCAGGACGTTTCGCACTTTTTCAAGGTTTACGCTTTCAGGCCCTAGGCATGCGTGGGGGGGGGACGACTTTAGGTGGGTTCCAGGTTTAGAGTGTGGAGTTCAGGCCTAGATTAAGCTCGGGGGGAGGCAATAGAACGGCGAAACGTGTTATGAATATTAGGGGCAAGGGTTATCTTTACGGCCACTTTTGAGGGATCTCGCTCTTGCTCCTGCTCTTGCTCCTGCTCTTGCTCCTGTTCGCGCTCTTGCTCCTGCTCTTGCTCCTCGTCCTGCTCGTGCTCCTGCTCTTGCTCCTGCTCGTGCCCCTGTCCTTGCTCCTGCTCCAGCCTGTGCTCCTGCTCTTGCTTTTGCTCCTCAACTGCCCCGCGGAAATCCAACACAGGTGTTCAAAAGCGGTGATGTGTTCAGGAGGGCTTTCCGGCAAGCGGTGCTATCGTCGCGGGGCGTGTAATGAATGCCCTTCTTCTTTCAATACCGCGCCACCCTCCCTAAACTCCAAAACCCAAAACCCTAAACCCCCAAACCCAAAACCCTAAACCCCCAAACCCAAAACCCTAAACCCTAAACGCATTTCGGGAAATGTGCTTCAGTGCTGGGGAGGACTGAGGGGTGGGCTATGCCCTTCCTTCTCGCAGCTTCGCCCCTAGAGCTCAACAGAAGACACTTAAATAGTACATTATATGGGTATATTGCAGTATTTATATATATACATATATATATATATATATGTATTTATATGAATGATGTCATATCTTAGTATCTTATAGAATATTCTACTTGGTTACACCTTCACTAGACGCCAAGCTCCCCGCAGCTCAAACCCTAAACTAACTCCTTCGAGCCCGAGGCCTAGACGAACAAAAACACAAAGTCAAACCCTTCGTATTCAAACACCCGAAAACCTTCAAGACTAGACCCCAAAATGCTAAACCCCAAAACCCTAAACCCGAAGCCCCTAAACCCTAAACACTATAAACCATAAACCCTCTAAACCTTAAACCCTAAGCCCTAACCCCAAACCCTAAACCCCTACAAGCCCTAAACCCAAAGCCCTAGCCCCTAAACCCTAAACCCTAAACCCGAAGCCCCTAAACCCTAGACCCTAAGCCCTTAAACCCTACCTAAACCCTAAACCCTAAATCCTAAACCCTAAACCCTAAACCCTAAACCCTGAGCCCAACAAAAAAACCCGGCGCAGTGACGCCAAGTTGCGAGAATCAGACGGGAGCCGAGGGCTCCCGTCGCGAACTCGAGGCTTCCGACAAAGCTGCCTGCTTTTGGGCTCCTTAAAGGGATCCTTAAAGGAGGGTTTAGGGTCCTTAAAGGGGGATCCTTAAAGGAGGGTTTAGGGTTTTTAGGGCTTTTAGGGTTTAGGGTTTAGGGTGTTTAGGGTTTAGGGTTTAGGGTTTAGGGTTTTAGGCTTTAGGGCTCCTTAAAGGGATCCTTAAAGGAGGGTTTAGGGGTAGGGTTTAGGGTTTAGGGATTTAGGGTTTAGGGCTCCGTAAAGGGATGCTTAAAGTAGGGTTTAGGGTTTGGGGTTTTAGGGTTTAGGGCTCCTTAAAAAAATCCTTCACTTAAAGGAGGGTTTAGGGTTTAGGGTTTTAGTGTTTAGGGCTCCTTAAGGGGGTCCTTAAAGTAGGGTTTAGGGCTTAGGGCTCCTCAAAGGGATCCCTAAAGGGATCGATAAGTGGTTTAGGGCTTTGATGGACTGTCAGTGACCGAAATGGTGCAGTTATGCTTGCTGCACATCCAGTCGTCTGCTCACCTGACCTTACCGCCAAACACTACCTCGACAAAAAACGCTGGTA